CATCTTGAACTATTGAATATTGGGTTTATATACTACATCTTGAACTACTGAATATTGGGTTTATATACTACATCTTGAACTACTGAATATTGGGTTTATATACTACATCTTGAACTATTGAATATTGGGTTTATATACTACATCTTGAACTACTGAATATTGGGTTTATATACTACATCTTGAACTATTGAATATTGGGTTTATATACTACATCTTGAACTACTGAATATTGGGTTTATATACTACATCTTGAACTATTGAATATTGGGTTTATATACTACATCTTGAACTATTGAATATTGGGTTTATATACTACATCTTGAACTACTGAATATTGGGTTTATATACTACATCTTGAACTACTGAATATTGGGTTTATATACTACATCTTGAACTACTGAATATTGGGTTTATATACTGCATCTTGAACTACTGAATATTGGGTTTATATACTACATCTTGAACTATTGAATATTGGGTTTATATACTACATCTTGAACTACTGAATATTGGGTTTATATACTGCATCTTGAACTATTGAATATTGGGTTTATATACTACATCTTGAACTACTGAATATTGAGTTTATGTACTACATCTTGAACTATTGAATATTGAGTTTATGTACTGCATCTTGAACTACTGAATATTGGGTTTATACACTAAGTAATGAATTTCTGAACATTAGCTCTATAGACTAGTCAAGAATTGTTGAATATTGAGTTTATAAAGTGAATGGTTAATTGCTGAATATTGGGTTTTGTTATGAAATGAAATGCACCTTTAATGGAGAAATTTCATACTTAATTATCAACTATTCTCATTTTTGTTCATAACGATCTTTCTTTAACTTCCCATTTTATGTTAATAATATAACCGACGAATGGTATATGAGGATTGAATAGACGTTAGTATAGTTCACCCCTACCTATTCTTTATGTTATACCGTGCGTCTCGAACATTCTGGAAAGAAAGAAGCTTCGAAAGTAAAGCCAGGGCTGGAGAGAAGGGCTGATAATTAAAAAAATACTCGTAATATGTGATTAATGAACTGCGTCGTTCATGTTAAAAAACCTACTGTGATTATTGTGTCCAATTAAGGAGACAGTAACAACAGACTAAACAGATCTTCTGAAGTCTTCAATCACAACAGTATAAAGAATTATTTGTTAATTTTCCTAAATTACCTAAACTCTAGCAATATTAGTGTAGAGAAGACAGCCCCAAAATGACTCTGGAGCCTCTTTATACACTTGTAATGGTTATGTAGAAAAGAAAGATCCAACTTAGCTCTGGACTTTTCTTATCATAATCGCATGGAGAAGAAACTTTCTTACAGTTAACATTATAAATTTGAGTTAAAATATCTGGAAACTAATTTTGGGAAAGTTGTTTGAAAAGTACGACCTAAATGTATGCAGATGCCTTGGAGTTCCATAATGTACACAAGTATTACTGTAACTGCCTTTCTCACAGCATCATGATATGTAGGTATTACTACACATGTTACATTAAACAGAGGACATTGACCTGAGAATATCGAACTGAAACACCAGCTCACCCAAGAAGGATCTACTCGTTTTCTAACATAGGCTTAAACTACTCGCTTTTCTCCATTGGGGAAACTTCGGCTTCCAGTCTTCTTCCATGGAGCAGATAGTTTCAGTAGAACCAAACTTTAAATAAGACCATTTTAATAAAACATTCTTGTACTGTACTCTCGAACTGATTGACTGGTGTATTTGTAGAATAAACTAGAACTAGTGGTAATTGGTTTATACAGCAGATTATATAAACAATAAAATATCGTGAATCCACTTCATGATGATACTGTTTTATACATATATAAGATATACATACGCAAATTTCACGTGGATTTAGTATTTAAAATCGTGATACGTATAATATATTATAACAAGAATAAGATATATACATCCTTATCGAACGTGGATTTAACAATTAAAGTGTTAATTTTATAAAGCAGGTTATAGTAAATACATGTGCTGATTATAATAAACAATAAGATATACACATGTGCTGATTATAGTAAACAATAAGATATACACATGTGCTGATTATAATAAACAATAAGATATACATATGTGCTGATTATAGTAAACAATAAGATATACACATGTGCTGATTATAGTAAACATTAACATAATCACATGTGCTGATTATAATAAACATTAATATAATCACATGTGGTGATTATAATAAACAATAAAATATACACGTGCTGATTATAGTAAACAATAAATATACACATGTGCTGATTATAGTAAACAATAAAATATGCACACGTGCTGATTATAGTAAACAATAAATATACACATGTGCTGATTACAATAAACAATAAGATATACACATGTGCTGATTATAGTAAACAATAAAATATACACATGTGCTGATTATAATAAACATTAATATAATCACATGTGCTGATTATAGTAAACAATAAAATATACACATGTGCTGATTATAGTAAACAATAAGATATACACATGTGCTGATTATAGTAAACATTAATATAATCATATGTGCTGATTATAGTAAACAATAAGATATATACATGTGCTGATTATAGTAAACAATATTATATAATTTGATTCCTTGTGGATTTAAAATTTAGTGATAATAATTTTCGTATTCCTTGTTTTCCAAGTTAATAGTAACATGGATAAATGCCTGGTGTATCCTTTATTACGTTAATCATGATTTATCTTATGTTAGCTTTCTTTTGTAGGCTAACAATAATATCTAACTGATTTATCCTGCATTACCTTTTTTATGAAGTTTAACTGTGATAAGTACTTGATTTAGGCTATATTTTGATTTTTTTATTGAGTTAGTGCTTAAGATTTATTGACCTAATTTGAGTTATAAATTTTTCTTATCCATTACACGGCTTGTTGACTTAGTCTGTGTTCTACAGTTTTCCCATCCATTAAGAGACCTTATTGATCTAATCTGATTTATACATTTTTTCTATCCATTAAGAGACCTTATTGATCTAATCTGATTTGTACATTTTTCCCATCCATTAAGAGACCTTATTTGATCTAATCTGATTTGTACAGTTTTCCCATCCATTAAGAGACCTTATTGATCTAATCTGATTCGTACATTTTTCCCATCCATTAAGAGACCTTATTGATCTAATCTGATTCGTACATTTTTCCCATCCATTAAGATACCTTATTGATCTAATCTGATTTGTACAGTTTTCACATCCATTAAGAGACTTGTTGACTTAGTCTGTGTTCTACAGTTTTCCCATCCATTAAGATACCTTATTGATCTAATCTGATTCGTACATTTTTCCTATCCATTAAGAGACCTTATTGATCTAATCTGATTCGTACATTTTTCCTATCCATTAAGAGACCTTATTGATCTAATCTGATTCGTACATTTTTTCTACAGACTGACAGTGACATCAAGTTGTCCCATGGATCTTCAGTACTTTCCAATGGATCGACAGTTGTGTACAGTTGAAATAGAAAGCTGTAAGTACGTTAAATTTCTTAATTTTACATTACACAATATGAATCTAAAATAAGCTACTCATCTAAAAATACAGTTTTCTCATTCTTCGCTTATCGGCTGTAATAACATTTTAAATCCTCATCTGTTGATATGAACGACATATTTATATGATTCTTTTCTTGAGCGTAATCTTTAAATCTTATTCTTCTGTTATATAAAACATATAATATGATGTCATATAGGTATAGATATTTATACAATCCTGTTTTAAAGAAAAAACTGGCCTTTACACAGTAAGTATGGTATATATTTCTATACTGTTATGACACCAGAAAGCGTCTAAAGAAAAATTTTCTTTAGACAGTATGGTATAAATTTCTATACCGTTATGACACCAGAAAGCTATCGTGTAAAGGCCAGCTGGCCTTTACACTCTAGCTTTCTGGTGTCATAACGGTATAGAAATTTA